GGGGTTGCGTTTTCCAGAGTTTTGAGGGGGGGGTCGCGTTTTCCAAATTTTCCATAACGGCAGGACCTACATTGATACCATACACTTCTTTGATGATATATTTGATGACTGCATGAAGAAGCTGCTACAGTCTGCTCCGCTGCCGATAAAGGGGCGCTAGGCGGGATGGGTTTGGTGTAGCGCCAGACTCATCCCACCTGATGCCTCTTTCATTAGCAGCGAACCGGACTGAATGTCCAGAATAGCGGACGAGAAACATTTTTGCACATTTTTTGTAGTCTTCCTGGGTTCTTTTGAATGAACATTGAAGTCTTCCATGTTGTATAGCATTCTAGTCGCGTTTCTATGAAAACTCGCTGGAACAGTGCGGGAACCAGCGTATCATGTATAGTCAGTCAGGCATGACGTATTCGTGTACATGTTATGTAAAAACGGTCGCTGAATGTGTACGCCATCCCATTCACAGCTGTTTGTGGACAGAACTGCACTTTTTCACTCCATTTTGCTAGCTTCGCTCGCAAGTAGTACTTTAGCACCTGTGTTCTGAGCGTCTAGTAGTTTACCTTTTCAATTTTTGATGACGCTTTTCCACGGGTTAACTGAGCGCTGCGATTTCTGATGCACTATCCGATAAGCCTGGGTTCAGCTGAAAAGTGCGATGAAACAGCCTTGCTTTTTAAATGTTTCTCTCTGCCGACTAACCTGCTGAATATCCCACCTGATGCTTGCGATCCATAGGATTGCATATGTACCTTTATCTGTTTTATAGTTTCTGTATAGTATATAGTAACATGAATCATTCAATAATCTTCGCAGCTGAAGTTTTTCCTTCCAACAGGGGAACCTATTGAGGCAGGATTTATTTATTGATTTATTGAAAGACGATAAGAAGTTGCCGTTAATCACGCCAATGATTAATGTTCTTGCTTTCTGATTGCAAGATAGATTCTGAATTGTTGTCCCTTCCGTGTTAATAATGACATGCTGAATGAATCCAAAAACTGGAGCGTTTGGTGTTCCTCCTCCCATCCATGAAAAACGGGAAGTGGGGATTTTGATCTTTGGTGGATGGAATACCAAGATAATCGCGTGGACTTCTGCTGATCTTTATGACACAATCCTTGAGGGAAGGGGACAAGACAGTCGACTTCGTCGCTGTCGTCGAGCGCGCGAATCATCCAGCGATGCGCAGCAGATCCTCGATGCGCACTATTTTGTCGATTGTAGCGGCGAAACTATGAAATGGAGATAAGACTCCATGATAGCCGCCGAATTTTCGCGTCCGAATTCGACATTCAACTTCAAGCGGCCAGGCAGGACAAGTCGTCTATCAGGCGCGGCGTCACTCACCAGCGCGGCATATTACGATTGTCTTGTCACATACCCATCCCATACCTTAAGTAGAATTGACAGGTTGTAATCGGACATAGCTTTTTCCCTTGTTAAAACTCAGTCATATTTGTCTCCACGTTGCCCTTATTGAAAACCCGACATTGTTTGAAATTTTGCATTGTTTACTTCTTTAATAAGGCCAAAAAAAAAACGAATTGTTGGAAAGAATTCGCTTTGTTTGCTATATCACGACTACCCTCGCGATCGGAAATGGCGGGAGTTGGAATTGAATGCAAATGGCAACGTGGTAAGTAATTAGTTGGTGAAGAGAAAAGGAAAATGTTCGAGCTCAAAATAGGACCTCCCACCGATCCGAGCTTGTACGAGCTTTGGTAGTGGATATTGGAGCCAGCAGGTTGTTCACTAGATACGTTGTGATCTATGCAATACTGTATTATTTACCCCATCCTGATCCCGACGTCAAGCCCTTTGTCCAAGGCTGAGCCTGGGAGGGAATCACTCCCCTCCCGAAGCTCAAACTCAGCAAAACGCTAAATGGTGCTGGCGCTGGAAACGAATCTGACATTCGTGATCAGGACACGGAAAAACCCGGTATGGAAGTTTTCATTGAATTTTTTTTTTTTGAAAAGATTAGCGCCGATGGCGTCTAACGGCGCTCTAGCATAAAAGGCGAATGTCATATTCGTGACCAGGGCATCGAATTACCCCTGTCGACAATGTTTCAGCAGGAAGACTCTCGATTACCGGGTAGTAATCTTCAACGGATCTCTTATTCTTGAGCGGATAAGAACGCAGGCGACTCCAATTGCGTTTGCGCCAGCGTCCCCATATGCTTCCACAGTTTTTGTGAAACTGACTGTATGATAAGAATAACGCATCTTTCAACATTTCTATAAGTGGTGATTCATCGATGTCATAACAGCAGTTTTACTGATTATTAATGGCCCGGTGTCAGTGTTAGTATTTTTTAAATGCATTTTTGAATGATTCTGATGAATTTCAGCGACATTGATGCGAGGCGTTGACGCCTCTCTGAACAATCCCGAGTTTCAAATCCAAAACGAAGATTTCCCGGCGTTACCAGGTGCTTCACCAAGCGACCATCCCGCCCAAGCGCCTACGTCACTCGTGAGCTGTTTTACATTTTCACGTGTTTCATATTCATTCAAGTATTGTTTGACGGGCGTCAGCGGAAAGGCGATGATTTATCGCGTCTGAGTGCGTTCGTTCATTGTTCTTGTTTAATAGCTATTCCTTGAGATCTTTTTATGAAACTGACCATTATACAGCAATCCTCGTTAGAAGAAATGATTGACGATTTCTGGTCAGATTTCGTCATTCACCCGCGAGGCACACTCTGTTCTGATTTCTCAGCCTTGATTGTCAAAAATCGAATTGTTGATTGCCATTCGAATCAATTATACGTCAATACAGATGACGGCTGCGAACGATATGCCGGTGTCGTCAACGGCGGCCGCTAGTGATCCTTTCGGTGTTCGTCCAGCTGGTGAACCAGCAAGGGGTATCATCACCCATCCCGATGGTAAGTATCCACATGATAATGCATTATTGTGAATTTGATTTTTTTTTCTAGTTCGTTCGGAAGCAGGGGGCATTTAAAAGACTCCTTGTGTAAAGCTAGTGCGACGTAAAGAGGAATGAGGTGTTTGTCCAAACCTAGAGAGAGAATGAGCTCTGGAGTGGACAAATCAGCTTTTTTTAGTGGGGGGAGAAGAGGGGGAACGGGGATTTCGCGCTACAGCCATCGAAGTTCTATACCTAAAGTCTTTTG